AAGAGTTCCCTTCCACACTCTGGTTTCTATAACCCTATGGTTACTAGGACATTATTAGACTTGTTTCAGAAATACCATGTATCTCCTAATGTCTTCAGTTTCAGAAAACAAGTTCTACAACTTACAAAACTGCAACTTAAAAAATAGATCAAAAAATGGCAGTAATAAATATTACCATCATCTGCTTGAAGTGGATTACAGTGATGTACAATAAAGCTTAGTGTCTGTCAGTATTTGCCACTAATATGTTTAATACATGCTTTATAGACAAAAGAGAAGTAATTTACATTATATGAAAAATTTTGGTTAATTAAGAAAAAAACGTTTTGAGTCAGAAGCATCCTTAAGTTCAGTCAGGGACTTCTAAATGTAGCTCTACATATACCAGTACAGCTGCAATTATAACCGTTATGCTTTATGTAAGCCTTTTCCCCCTCCTCTTTCTTTTTAATAAAGTGCCTGAATAAGATAAACAGATTAAAAGATCTGGCAGAAGAAATAAAGCCATTAGAAGCCTGCCCTTGTTTCCTTGGATTTGAGAGGAGTATGCTGAATTAACATCTCTTATGCGTTGCAGCTGGAAAAAATCATGCGTACAGGCAGTTAGGAGTAAATTTGGCAAAGTCAACCTACAGAAACAATCAGCAAAGCCAACCCAGAATAAAACTGTCTTGCAGTTGATATTTAATTTGCATTAGCATTAATGCTTGGGAAAAAAAGTAGGTTTTTTTATTCAGTTGCATGAGCGTGGTTGCTGACTGCCTTGGCAACTTTTGTGCCTGCCCTGTCCCCACAAGGGTAGTTACTGACATAACCTACCGCACAGAATCTCTGCAGCTGTCATAATAACCATTTTCCACCACAAAACGATCAAAATACAGAACTCCCAACACTTGCATCCAGTAACGTAACGTCCTCCTCCTGAAAGACCAACACCCTCATAACAACTGAGGACATGAGCGGAATGATCATCCTCTTCCTGACTTCTGGCAATTCTAAGTACCCCTTGCTTTCACGGTTTACGAAATGGCATGTGGTCACCACAGGCAATTGTTTGACTGCTATTTAAGTAGCTTCAGGGTGACCATGCAGACAGATTAAAAAGTCCCGCTGGACATCTCCTGAACTTGTCTCGAGGCAGGCCAGGAACCTGATGGCCCGCTACCTACTAAACAACATCTGCAACAGAGCAACTTCTTGAGGCACTTGATCTAAATTTGCACTGTTCTCAAAAGATCAGTATGTTTCTCCAGGAAACAGCTATTTGTGGAGTATTTCAGCTGCCTCATGTGGCAGAGCTGGTGGCACAGAGAAGGCAGGCTTGCACAGCAAAGAGGAAGGCTTGGACCACCTCTGGCGTCGGCAGCCCACCCTGGAACAGTTTAAGCTACACGTGGAGCTGAAAGGCAAAGCTGAGAGGTTTGATACCAGCAGACAAAGCAGCCCCCACTTGCCAGTAACAACTGTTATGGACAGACCAGGGGAGAGCCTTCGTGAACTACCTGGGCAGAGTATGCAACCCTTCTGGAGATGCTGAATTCATCTCACTAAAGGTTAGTTATCCAAAAGGTCTACAGTAACCATCAACCTAAAGTGGTTATCATCCATACCACCTAATAACTGTATTTCTTAGGACAGGATGTCTCATCTTTTGCAGGTGCTTTCTTCTCCACAAGGCTACAGAAACAGCTTATGGTATAGGAATAACTTACATGACCAAGAGGTGCTAAAGGTAGGAAATTCCACAGTTGTGTGGTAGCTTCCTCCTTCTAGGAAGTACAGCTCAGATTGTTTCAGAAGTGACGGGATCCTTGTGCGCAGGGTCAGACCCCTCAAGAAAGTGCTCTGTGTGATGAAGGAAATAAGCACAGGAGAAGTCAGTGAGCCAGGTTCCTGTCTGCACTGTTGTGACATGAGCATCTTTTGTCTGCTGCCCCATGTCCTGTACATGGTGGCCTCTCTCCCGCTGCCGGACTGACAAGAGTTTTGCCTGACCTGACCTTTAAACATGGAGGTGAAGGGTGATGTGACGGAACAAGGATTGCTGCTCAAGACCAGTCCAAACCATTCCGAAGCTGGCAGTTTCAGGAAGCAGTGGACAGGCATGCAGCTTCACAGCAAAGGACGCTATACCTTATTGATCAACACTAACAAAAATAAAGACTGTATAAATATAGGAAAAGTTCAAACTGCTGAGAGCAAGTGTCAGCAGGCTATGATGGATAAAACATGCCTAGGCAGCTTCCACCAACCGTCTCCAGCTCCAGCTAATGTCACTAAGAAGTATCTTTCTAATATCAATGTTCAGGGTCAGAAATCCAAGGCAGCAATCCTAAACATATATACATGGTGCCCAGCTTCCAGAAACAGCGCAGTGTCCCTGTCAACTGAGGAAGGCATGCAAGCCAGGCCTCTTGCTCAACCACCTTCCCCGTCGGACACACTGGCAGGGTACAACGGGAGATACTCCGGGACGTGCTGGGACAGCTGTACCAAGGGCTTAATCAAAGGTCAGTCCAGCCCTTGCAGGAAATCATGTGGCCAGGCAGTGGGAATATTTCAGCAGCATTCACGTTCCCTGTACTACCACCCTCGTAAATGTAACAGCACTGCATGCCCACACAGCCTCATCCGGCTTTATCAACTAACAGGCTAAACCCAGCATTTTAGCTAGCTAGAGCTAGTTATCCGCATTTTTATTTCAATCCGGGATGTGAAAAAAGAACATCCTGCTTCCGGAGCCTTCAAAACGGATCAGGAAAAAAGCAGCACAAGTCCGAGGCCCTCGCTCCAGGAGCCAGCGGACATCACCCCGTGCCCTGCACCCCCCGACGGCAGGAGGGAAAGCCCGCTGCAGGCTGCCCCGGGGCGCCGTGCCGGCCACCCCGCCGCTTGGGAGCTCAGGAGGCTCCAGCTCCAGCATCTTCACTGATCCCGAGCACCGTTCAAGCAGCTCTCTGGGTAATTCTAATTCCAGAACGGGCAGTAGCTATTAACTGTCCAGCAGCTTCTAAAACAGATGAAGCAGAACTGTCAGGCGCAGCAATAAAGCAGGCGAATGACTGTCAAAGAGAGGGGGGGAAAAATTGGAATGTTACATTTACTGCCAAATTTGTGTGATTTGGGTATTTTGGAAATGGGATAAATGACACGTAGGGAAAACAACATGCTTCTCCTTAGCCCATTCATGACCATCAGACAGAAGATGCTCTATTTGTGTACTCTGCTCTCCAGCACCTTAATTCTAAAACCAGTTTCCCGTTTCAAAGCAAGAAAGATCTTTCCATTCTTCTCCTTCAAAATATGAGCTTCTGCATGCCAGTCCACCTCACTGGCATTAAAAACAGTGTCTACTTTTCACCATTGTAGCCTTGTTAATCTCCAACATATTAGCATGCTTTTGGGATTTCTTACTATATTCCTCAGTGTTTGTCATTACTTAATAAAAATTACATTTTTGAAACCAACTCAGATAAAAACAGACGTTACAAACTTTTCCAAAAAGAGATTATGCCAGTAATTTTTTCATATATTATAGCAAATGTTCTGTGTTTGCAGCAGTACATACATAACATAGCTTTAAGCACGCAAAACTACTCACAATTCAAGCGATGTTTACTCATCTTTTTAAAACAGATAGTAAATGTATTGAATCAGTGTGTTCCATTCATTCAGAGCATTGCTTGCAAAGCCTACCAGATGATAAACAGTGATAGATTGGGACTGTCGGGAAGGATTGAGATTTGTTTCTAATCTATCAGAGTTTTAAAATATCTTATGCAAATGTACAGTAGCACTTTTCAACTAGTGATACATGAAAACTGATTATGTGTAAAAGCAGAGTTTTCAAAATCCTGAAAACACGTATCAGAAAACTCAAATTGGCTTAAGTGTCAGTGCGTGAAAAAGCCCATTTTATTTAGCATAGGACTAAAAAAAAAACCCAACATACAAAAATATTTAACAAGGTCTGAAGATATCTCATTCCTCCTAGGAAAGTAACGTGCTTCAAGACACTATTTTTTAAATCAAAGAGCAATACTACACATCTCTCATCCTTGTTAAACTTCATTGTTAAAATGGAAAAGGTCCTAAATTAAACCTACCCTGTAACTCACTACTTAACAGGTAGAGACTTGTTTTCTTTCAGCAAAATGTGTTTTTCCAGAATCATGCAGAACTGTAAAACTCTGTCCTACATGACTTAGCACAATTTACATCTTCAAATATTACAATTATGTATCCAAGAGATCACTGCCAGCATGTGTACCTGACTCAGCACAGGCTTTACGCCTACTGAACCCACTAGTGTTTTGTCTCATTTGGTTGTAAATGTCCCACACTTCCAAGAGCACGTCTTTTCAAACAGTTCTTCCTCCACCTCCTTCCCCCTGCCACCAGGGCACTTTTCTTCCAGCCGCATGTCATCTTTTCCTCATCCCATTCCATCACTCTGGGCTGTATCCCGAGGACACTGAAAACCGCCTCTCCCTGCTTCCACCACGCCTGTACTGTTCAGGCCATCTACAGCCTGCGGGTGCCCCCCTAACCTCCTTCTCCCACTCGGTGCTACTCAGCTTGCTTATGTCTCCTCATCTCGCTATTAGTGTTTTAGCTTTTACTAGCTGAGCTGGGACAGGCTGAGGCCTAGGGTGTCGGGCCGCCAGGCCGAGGCGGGGCCTCTCTTCGAGGGTTGCTGGGGTACAGCCCCGTGCAGGCAGCCGCGCTCAGACCCGCGCTCCCCACACCTTCTGCAGCGGGGAGCGCACACCAGCGGCGAGAAGCACGCGGCGGCACCGCGCCCCGCGCCCCCGCCTCAGGGGCCGAGGACACCAAAGGCCGCCGCCCGCGCCCGCCGGGGGCGCGCGCCCGACGCGGGAGAGGGGGCGGGGCGGGGCGAGCTGAGCGCCCGGCGCCGCGCTCCCGCCCCGCCCCGCCCCGCCCCGCCCTGCGTGCGTGCGCGCGCGCGCGCGCCCTGCGCCGTGACCCATTTCACTGAACAAAGGATTTCGCTGGAATCTCAGCTCTAGACCTAAAATGGCGCCGGCGCGCTCGCCCGTCCCCCTCCCCCCCGCCCAGCTCCCGCCCCCGCCCCGCGGGCACCATCGAGATGGGGCGGGCCGGGGCGGATAGAGCGGCCCTTCTTCGTGCCTTCTCTACGCGGCCGTAGTCCGGCCTCGCTGGTGCGCGGCGGGAGCCGGGGCGCGGGCCGGGGGTAGCGCTGTCGAGTCATGGCGGGCGAGGGCGACTCTGAGCCGAGGAAGGTAATGGAGGATGGATGCATGCACGGACGGATGGACGCCCGTAGGGTCCCGCCTCGCCTAGGCGGCGGGGAAGCCCCGGCAGCGGCGGCCCCGGGCCGGTAACCCGCACGGCCGGAGGAGGCCGGAGCTGCGCGGAGCCTTTCGCGGGTTTTAGGGTTTCACCGCCCCGTCCCGCTGAAGCGCGGCCGAGCGCTGGGAGGAAGAGGAGGGGGAAGAGGAGGAGGAGGAGCCGTCGAGCCACCCGGCTCCCCGTGCCCACGCGCGTCAGTGCCCGCGGAAGCGGAGGGGGAACCCTGCGCGGGGGGCGGGAGAGGTTCTCGCAGAGCTGTTGTGAGTCCTTGCAGGTCTTGGTCCAGAGGAAATAATTCGGGAACAATACGCGGAAACCCCTGGCAGCACTGAGGCTCTGTGGGGCCGAGCGGGTGGGGTGGGGGCTTTGTGTTTGTTTTTCCACGGACCCCTCTACGGGGCTTTCTCGTTGCGGGTGGAGCGTTGTCGTGACACTTGAGCCCTAGTAACGCCAGCGGTTAGCAATGGTTGGAGTCATAACAAGGGATTTCAAGAATAGCAACAGGTGAAATACTATTTTAAAAGGATGCATCACGCTGCACGGATGCATCAGGGATACCATCTTAGCCAACAACAGCAACGTATCAAGTGACTTCTTCCATATGAGAGTGCTCGAAATTACTCATTAGGAGACCAGACCAACATAGACCCAGTCCTTTTTGTCCGTCTCACTTGTACGCAGGGATTATGTGGAAACAGCTGATGGTTGTCCATAGGGAACGTAGAGAAAAATACGGATGGGGGATTTCCATAGTTGCATACAAATCCAGCTGTTGTCAGATGTTTGCCATCCCTGTTACCACAGCCAGACTTGTTTCACAATGACTTGTCTCACAGAGCTGTCAGCCCTCCACAAATAGTTGACTGTAGTACTCCATCTTCAAAATCTACATTGCCCAAGTAGAATAGCTTTCGCAAAAATTAAAACCATTTAAAAATCCTCTTTCAAGATTTCAGTCGATACAGCTGCACATGTGGTATTTAATGGTCTAAGGATTTAAACACAATAGAATGAAGATGAATTCTCACACCATCCCTGACAAAATAATTAATAGCAGAAAGATGTGCAGATGTTACTAAAGTGCAGCCACCTTATCCCTGACCCATGTCATCTTGAGGCCTTTTTGTAGGTAGTTTCTCACTCCTGCTTGTGGCACCAACGTGCATTTGCAAGGATGTTTGTCAGGTGGGAAATTTGTCAGATGGGAGTTGTATTCAAGCTAGAAGATGTGGATTATGTAGAATCCAGTGTAGCGAGGCACCTCTGAAATGAAAAACCTATTTGTCAGTTCATAGTTGGTTTTATGAATGACACATGTAATTTCCATTTGAAAATTAAATAGAAAACTGATAGATATAAGCTAGGGTAAGTTATAGATGTGAGACAAAGTGTGAAATAGGTTTAATGATTTTTACCAGTAGGTTCATTTAAAAATGTATATGTTGTATATAGAAGAATTTCTGTGCAGAGCCCCTGCCTATACATAGGGTTAGGTTAAACATGACTGGTTTATAAATATTTGCATTCAGTGTTCAGTATAAGGTTCTTTACTACATGCACATTCTTCAGTGATTCCACTTTTTTTTTTTCTTTTAAGCACATTTGCCTTTTCATGGCATAACTGACTGCATAATTGATTGTAACCTTACCTGCTTGTTGTAACGTATGTTGGTTTTGAATAAAGATCCTGTATTTTTAAGGGTATTCTCCCTTCTTTTTTGGGGAAATGTAAAGGAAAAGATGAAGTAGTTCTTTATAATATTCAGTTGAAAGGATGGATCAATAGGTTTGTACAAAATGATGTTGCCTAAATCAATAGTTAGCTCTTCCAAAACCCTTCTGATACAGCTGTGCATGTTCAGTTTTGCACAGATACAACCCTGGAAGTAGGAAATCCTCAAGTGGTTATTTTTGACTACTAAGATAACAAGTCAGTTTTATAATGGAGTTGGTATCATAGACTTCTATTGAAGTAATTTTTATAATTTATGGTGTGGGGTTTGTTTTTTTTTGTTTGTTTGTTTGTTTTTGGTTTGTTTTTTTTTTTTTTCAGTCCTTTAAACTCCTAGGATTTCTTGATGTTGGAAGTGTCCCATGTGCACGAGAATCGGTGCTGTATGGCTCCGTGGGATCTTTAGTTGTGGGTCTTGGACATTTTGTAGCAACTAGTAAGTACATATTCCTTCTGTTTTTTATATATTTGCAATGAAAAATTAGTTTCTGTTTACTGTTAGGTTTTATTAATAACGGGAAGTCATCCAAGGTGTTTTTCTCTAACTTTTTGGAGGATTTTTGTTTGTCTCACAGGTAGAGTTAGAAGATCTTGTGACTTTGCAGTTGGTGGCTTTATTTGCACAATGTTAGGATACTGGTATGTAAAACGCTTCTTGAATTTTGACAGACTGATGTTGGCTGCTTTGTACAACATGATCCTCGTGTAACCTTTCACACTGGTTTTGAAACTCCATAAAAAACTTGCCTAGCAAAGTGTTCTCTTCCTTCTCCCTGAAATATTTCTTTTTTTTTAAAAGGAAAAGAGTTCAATGCCTTTGAATTTTTATGTTAATATTTTTTTTAAAAACTTGCTATTGTTTCTTGAATCCTGAGCGATCAAACCATCCAGTTATTTCTTAATTCTTTCTTTTTTTTCCTTTGCATATGCCATCCTTCTGTCCTAATTATAAAGGCAGCATACTAAATGGTCATGAAATTAAGATCCAAGTTATAGAAATTAGCATTTTCCATTGGACTCATATGTCCCACTCCTCAGTGCCTGCATGTTTGCCTTAAAGAAATGGCAGTTAGCCTAGTATTTTCATTATGCATTTTTCATAATGAATTTTACTAGTGTTATTGTATGTTGTTTCAACTTTTCAACTGGCTGAATAACTCTGATTTGATACTATCCCTCATATAAAGTGGGGAATCATGTTTTCTTTTCATCCCCTCCTATAGGTTTTACTGCAGATACAATTTGGCCCAACAGAGGATCCGGCAAAGAATGCTTAAAGAAGGAATGAGAAACAGGATTTTATTTGAAGGCAGTTCTCTTGATCCAGAAAGAAAACTAACTGACAGTGAAAGAAGCGATTCATAGTCTGCTGCAGAGGAATCTGTGGTCTAATACAGCTTTGGGAGAAGGTGGTCCATAAAATGGCAGTCTTCCCTGTAAATGTGTGAGGTGCCTAAAACTGATAAATCATGCTGGTTTTCGTAGCAAATCAGAGCAAGAAATTCATAGCAAATCTGTTAAGTCAGTATACAAGCCTTCCTTTGTTTCGTGTATGTATGTATGTAATGTATAGGACTGCGTACAGCGATAGGAATGACCTCCTGTTAAACATCTGGGAACTGATCCGTTCTGTTACAGGGTCTCGGGGGATTAATAGCAGGTTTGGGGACTGCTTTAACCGCCCTTATAAACAGAATGGTTCGTTTTAGTAAAGTTGTAATTACATCTCATTTAAATACAGGAAAATATTTTCACCAGCTGTTCTCTTGAGTAAATGTATCCTTCAGTGCTGCTACCGTTAATTGTGCTGTTTGTAAAACAGGAACATCTAAACAGCAGGTGAACGCTTTGCTTGTGCAAGATGGGTGATGTCAGTAGCCTTTATAAGATTTCAGCATAATAACTCCAGATAATTCATATACACTGTGAAGTTGAAGGATTTCCATCTTTGTTCTGCCTGCGTGAAACTAAGAATAAAATCACACTTCAGAAGCAGTCTAAGCTATGGAACTAATTTTTTTACTGGATTAAAAATGTTGCTCTTCTTAAGACACTTCTTTACAATTGATGGAAAAATAATTTACGTTATTTGTAAGTAGCAATGGTCAGTTTGGGGTTTTGTTTTGCTTAAGGCATGTTCTACTTGTATATTCCACTGTATATTTTCAGTTACAAGAAATATCTCTATGCAGTTTCAAGGAAACCATCTTATTTGGAAATACGGTGTTAGGTCTAATTGCATATTGGTAAAAAGATGAGTGATGGTGTAATACTCCTTCCGTACTTCTGTCTACACCAATGACACAATGTATGTATTTTTTTCACAGAATGATTTATACTATATTATCCTCTAAGCACTTTTTGGTCTAAAGGCATTCACTGAGCAAAACTAATCCTTTCCCCCCACCCTGTACTTAGTCTGAGAGAGTTTGTGATCTGTTGTTAACTCAGGTTGGTGTGGGGAGGTTTGGGAATCCAGATGTAAACAGCAGCATTGCTCTACTTACGTAATTTGGAAATATACTTGAGAGCACTGAGCAAACATGCTGGTTACACTGAGATAATTAAACTTTTACCTTCTGTGGATTAGCCTCTTACAAGAAGAAACAAACTTGTATACTCTGTTTCCTTTTTTTCCTCCTGTTTCTTCTGGAGGGAACAGTAAGGATAAATTTTATGAGGGACATTCATCTCAATAGTTTTATATAAAAAGTCTCCAGAAAATTTGAGTTAGCGCAATGAAACCCTTTCTGTCCTCGCTGTAAAATCTAAACTCTGAAGTTAACTGGTAGCTAACTCCAATTAAGAAAAGAAAAATGTTTCCCCTGGTTCTGCCCTGAGGGGGGAGGGAGGGTCCTTCCCTTTGGATGGGGTAGGAGGTGTTGCCTCATAAAGCCCTTGGAGCAGCAGTGGGAAACTGGGCGAGCCGTGAACCAGGACTTAGCAGCCTCCTATTTTAATACACGGTTGAGTTCTTTCCTACTGACCTAAGAAAAGGAACTGCAACCTAAGCAGGGGGCCTTTTCACTGCGAGGTCATAGTTCCGCTGGGGAGTTTAGGAAGCAAAAGCACTCAGATGAAAACTTACGCTTTGGCGAAGAGCAGTTGTAGAGAAAATGTGGTGGGTTGACCCTGGCTGGACGCCAGGTGCCCACTGGAGCGGCTCTACCTCTGCCCTCCTCAGCTGGGCAGGGGGGAGAGAAAATACAATGAAAGGCTCGTGGGTGAGATAAGGACAGGGAGAGGTCAGTCACCAATTGCTGTCACAGGCAAAACAGACTCGACTTGGGAAAAGTAACTTAATTTACTGCCAATCCAGTCAGAGTAGGGCAATGAGAAATAAATCTCAAAACACCTTCCCCCTACCCCTCCCTTCTGGGAAAAACTGCAGGGTTAGGTCATCTCTGGTGGTAATTGGTGTTGGTTTAAGCTACTGCATTGAAGGCTATTAGCTAAATAGCAGCTTAACTACAGTATTAGCAGTTCTGGCCAATAACTGTGAAATTCTAGATCTATCTGCCTTGCGCAGATAACTGATCTAATGCTTCTGCCTCACTGTGCAAAATGTAAAATGAGTATGCCAGATGTTAACAGAAAAATGGGGAAAGAGTCAATAGACAGGCAGTCTGGCCAACACGTTTGAGCTTCATTATCTAGTAAAACTCGAGGTGGAATTTTGCTAACCGAAAGTCAGGGCCTTTGCTGAGCGAGGCTGCGAGCTGGACTCAGTTGGTATGAAAGGGGAGGGCCTGCGATGGCAGGGGGAAGAATGCTCGTGGTTAAACAGGCAGGGGAAAAAGTCTGGCAAAATTCCTCAAAGAGCCAGCTACAGCTGCTTCTGTGCCAGCTGTGGGAAGTGGATCGAACGTGACCGATGGGTTACAAACCCCCATTGAAAGGGCGGGGGACAGGGAAAAACCCAAAACTCTCAAACCTATTACTTATCACAAGCTAGGGTACGTTCACAAGAAAATAAAAGTTGTAGTAACTTAATAGAAGTAATTTTAACATTTGAAAACAATTTCCTAACCTTTTAAAATTAGTGAGCCATATCTCTGTTAATGCTAATTTTTTTTAATCTTAGTCATTGGTGGAAACACATACTATGCATCTGTGTTCTATTATCGGACTCGATACCTTTGAGTATTGCTGCTGTCGACAGATGTAATAGCTCTTGCTTTACTGAGATTCAAAATATTCCTCAAAACTTACAGGCAGTCACTAGAAAGGAAGAGAGATAGTAATTGTGAAGATGTTTGGTTTTCAGCCCTCTGAAGGAGCCTCAAAAGGGAGAGAATGAAGCATAGCAACTTTAAGCTAAAAGGTGCTAAAATGCTGTTTATTTTACGGTGACTGACAAGCACGCTTAGTTTTTATCCCTGAAGTTAGTAAAATCCTCCCTTCAAACAACCTCAGGCACCACCCAAATAAGCAGACGGGGTTATGGCCCCGTCCCGGGGGCCTTTCGGGCAGGAGAGCCGCTGTCCCGGCGGCGGGCTGACCCGCGGCACCCCAAGGTTCGCTGCCAGCTGCCTGCCTGGAGAGGCGCCTGGTCCGCCCGCCCCTGCTCTGCACTGCCTTTCCCCAAAGCAAACATGACGCGTCAGCCATCGGCAACGGGGCAACGGGCTCAAAACCCAAGAGCTTTTTCGAAGCTGTCAGCTGCAGCTGCCACCCCAAGCCCATCATTTACGTCTTCTCCCGAGCAGAGGTTACGGGAGGTGTTGGCTCTCGCTGCATTTTGCAGGCTTCCAGGCTATTCCATGGGTGTCACCACACACCCCACGTCCTCGAGTGCTGCAAAGGAAGGGTCACCTCCCGTCATTACCAAATGAGTCTGGCTTTTGGTAGGATGATTTTCTAGGCAGGGTGGCAAGCACCTTTGTTATTTCTGGTGTCAGCAACCCAGGTAACAATGAAGTACTGTGTGAACTCAGCTGTAATGGGCTCCCAAGTGAAAGATTTTTCCCCGGCTCAGTACACTAGTTCTCACACTTCTCTCATTCCCATATCCAGGCATTTAGCTCAAGAGCTCCGTGGTTACCAGTGAAAGTCGTTTGGTTTGCTCCTTTTAAAGTTTGAAACAAATAGGTTGTTACTACCGAGGAAAACTGATCAAAACAACAAAGATTTGACAGTGTGTTCAGATGATCAGGATGCTGATCCTTCGATGTTTGTTTGTTGGGATTTTTTTAACTGAAGAACCAAGAATTTATTAAAGCTCAGAAGTGGAGCTGAGTTTTAGTTAATGTGATTCCAGGCCTTGGAACATATATATCCTTCTTAGGCTTAGAATGACAGTATTACACTGAGCAAGTGTGGCTGCTGAACCTTCAAATGGGGGCTGGGGAGCCGGCGGATGAAGAGAAGGTAGAGCCTTGGATGAGGTGATTTGAGGAGAACACAGACTTTTATTCACGGCTAGCAGCACCCTGACTGAGACTGTTAGTAGGCCCCCACGTTCTCATGTGCTCTCTGATTTTTTTCTGCATGGGCTTATAATTTGCCCGAGAGCCACCCAGCAGTGGGTCTGCCTTTTCCTCTGGTAATAGGTCACAGCATCCCTGTATCTGCTTGTTTCAAAGATTAGGAACAGTTCGGTTCTGAGGAGGTGGTTTTAATCCCTCCGTCTATCAGGAGCAAGACTGAGTCAGAGCCCTCAACTTTCCTGATCATGCCAGGAGCCCACTGGCAGTACATAAAGTGTATGGTGGGAGCAGACAATTAGCACTGCGGGGCTCTTTCTCTTTAGGCTGGCCACCGCTCTAAAAATACCCAGCCTGCATGTTGTGGTGGTGCATTTAACAGAACCAAAGATTCCCCCTCTCTGCCTTCATGCTCTGAAGAGAATGAAACACATGCTTTGTTTATTTTTTAAACTCCTTGTTTATTTTGTCTAATGCTGCCACAAAGAGCAGCAGATGCGCTGTCAGCCAGCGTGGCTTCTCTGCCTGGACAACAGATCTTCATCTCTCCTATTGATGGCCAGTGGCTTGTGGTCAGCTCTGGTGATCACTGTGTGCATTTATCCACGAGACACCTCGGCCTTCAAGCCTGCATATATGTGTGTGGCAGGTTTGGGGACTTCACCTGCAAGCCTTACTACTCTGGCTGATGGCCGTGCTTTCCGTCAGCCAGGTCAGGAGCTCTTACCACCTTTACCTTTGCCAGGTGGCCAAACCCAGTGAGACCCATCTTCCTCTACCACCTCATCACTGCGACACTGCACCGACGCTGCGGAAACGGGAGAAGAGATCCATCCAGTCCATTTGCCGGTGGCTCCTTCTTCTGAGCAAATTTGCAGTCAGGGTGCCCACAATCCCTGCCAACAGAACATTCAGGATACGTTACTTAAGTGATTATAGGGAAGCTGACATCCCCTTCCCGGTCAGGAAACATTCAGGCTCTGGCTGAGGTAGTGGCAGCATCAGTGAAGATGAAAAGCCAGTAACTGATTTGTTCTTGGGTGGATACATTATCACAACTGGCTGTCACAGGAGTCCTTCATAGGGCAAATATAGAGCAAAAAAAATTTCCAGTGGCCTGTTCCTCAAAACAGAGGGGATGATACTCTGTTCTGGCCTCCCAAAGAAATCTGGAACTGCCAGTGATTATCACCTGCTGTGCTTATAACGCTTTCATCCAACATTTAAAGCCCTTGAGAGTCACCCTGAGGCAGCATTGGGAGGCTGTGACAGAACGAACTTGTTTGACTCGGTTTCTTAGTAGCCACATGCCATGTTCTTCAGTAGCCGCCTACTCAGACTTTCAGGTGGATAAAAAGAGCTCAGGCCTTTCTTCCTAAACCTCACCAAGTCCCCTCGCACCATTACTGCAGCGGGCTTCTTACCCCCCACTAACAAGCACGATGGACCTCACCGTCCCAAACGCCAGTCGCCGTTCGTTTCTGCTCACCGTTTTCTCTATGACCGTTCATCCTTCCACGGGGGGACACCCTGCACCTCTGTCACCCACACCCGCCCTCCCGAGATCAC